TGCTGACGCACATCGTTATTATCAAGATCTGTGGTTTGCTTGTGGCAGCGTTTTGTCTAGGGGCTTTAGCAGGTTTGTCGGGGGCGGGGGTTTCATATAATGGACAGCTAGGGACTTGAGCTCGGCTAGAGGTTGGCCTAGTTCATTATCTGGGTCAAAATACCACAGCCCCGCATATGCAAATGCTCTTAGCGCAAGCAAAGTCTTACAGGATGCCGGCCTGCAGGCCTCTTGAGTTACCGCTCTTGCCTACACTGCATACAGTGCATAGATCTTGCACAGAGTGGGATGGGGTCAGCTTCAACAGCAAGGTTAACAGCAATTTCCCCCACACCCTCACCCAACGATACATCAATAGGTTTCCCTTCATTAAAACTTGACCATGAAGAACAGCTCAACACATGAGATTTTGACAGTTGGGGGGTTTTAAAACATTCATTAGCCCTAAGCCAATTTCTGAACCCCTTATCACTAAATGCTGGGTCAGTGTGACATTTGTTTTCTGCACCATTACAGGAGAAGAAACGGCAGTAAAAGCAAAATGCTGCATCCTTTGATGGGCTATAGTCTAACCACCTAGACTTTTCATACCAATCAGACTGAAAACTTCTTTGTTTATTCCCTATTTTACTTCTAGGAAACATGCTCAATCTAGGCTGATAAGAACCTCTAGATAATCGAGACTGGTTTCAGAGTAACAGCCGTGTTAGTCTGTATACGCAAAAAGAAAAGGAGTACTTGTGGCACCTTAGAGACTAACCAATTTATTTGAGCATGAGCTTTCGTGAGCTACAGCTCACTTCATCGGATGCATGCCGTGGAAACTGCAGCAGACTTTATTTATACACAGAGAATATGAAAAAATACCTCTTCCCACCCCACTGGGTAATAAGCTATTACCAGCAGGACAGTGGGGTGGGAAGAGGTATTTTTTCATATTCTCTGTGTATAAATAAAGTCTGCTGCAGTTTCCACGGCATGCATCCGATGAAGTGAGCTGTAGCTCACGAAAGCTCATGCTCAAATAAATTGGTTAGTCTCTAAGGTGCCACAAGTACTCCTTTTCTTTTTATAATCGAGACTGGCATTCTAATCTATTTTTTGGAATATCCCAGACCGGGTCATCAGAGGGAATGTTTGATGGCTTTGAATAGGAGCGACACTGACCTGAGCTAAGGGACAAAGTCTGTTTCTGGTGGTCATTGCTCAGTTCATTGCACACACTGGAACTGGTGGCGGCATTCTCTTCATGTAAGTTCTTAATCGAGGCATCCAAGCTATTTGCACTATGATCAGCACGTTCATTATCATTCAGTTTGTCTGCTCCTTTTCTTCTCTTAACAACGAGCCGATCCATAGTTTAAAATTAAAAGGGGGTATCATACAGTTGAATTAAAACGTAAAGCCACGGGCTTGTTATGCTATTTCAGCAGCGTACACGTGACAGAGATTACAAACACTGTAGACACGGCGCTAGGCACGCCTGACGCGGCCCCGTATATAGGTCAAAGAATTTTCTAGAAGAGTAGTCGGAGGGGGAGGGAGGACCAATGGTCATGTGACGCTGCAGTAGTGGGGACGCATGCGGCGAGCGAACGCGGGCTTTCTAGAAATTTCTACCACATCTATACTACGCAATTTGGCGCTTATTGCATAATACAACAATCCATACTTTAAAACTAAAAAAGTGTATCATGCGATTAAATTAAAACACAAAGCCACTTTTTTTTGAGATATTAGGTCAGGGGTGGGCAAACTTTTTGGCCCGAGGGCCACGTCGGGGTTGCAAAATTGCATGGAGGGCGAGGTAGGGAAGGCAGTGCCTCCCCAAACAGCCTGGCCCCTGTCCCCATCTGCCCCCTCCCACTTCCCATCCCCTGACTGCCCCCCTCAGAATCACTGATCCATCCAACCCCCCTATTCCTTTTCCCAATTACCCCCACCAGAGACCCCCCCACCCCTAACCACCCCCGCAAGATCCCACCCCCTATCTAAGCCCCCCTGCTCCTTGTACCCTGACCGCCCCCTCCAGAGACCCGCCACCCCCCGCCCCAACCACCACCACCCCTGGGATCCCACACCCTATCTAAGCACCCCCGCCCCCTGAACGCCCCCCCCCCCGAAAAACCCTGGGGCCCCCCCCCCCCCCCCCCCCCCCCCCCCCCCTGCCCCCCCCCCCCCCCCCCCCACCCCCCCCAAAGAGAAGAGGAAGGACCCCCCCCGGGGGGGGGGGTTTTTTTTCTTTAGATGGACCACTTGCTCCTGGTGCCCCACTGGTTTCCAGTGCCTGGGACTCTCTTCTCCTTCTCAGTGGACATTCTCGGCTAGTATGCCCTGGCCTTTCACAAGGGTAACAAATGTACCTTCCCTGCTCATCCTGCAGTGGGTTTCTTCAGGATCCTGGTGTCCTTGGATACTTTGGCATTTTAGTGGAGGTTTTTCCTTTCATCACCTCAGTCATCACTTTCAGCTGTTGGACTGCCAGTTTTTGGACAGCTTCACTTAATCTTTCCAGTGTTAACTGTGTTTGGGGCAGGGTCTTTTCCCCAGCACTTGCATTCACTTGGCCCCCACTTCGTGGACAGGACTTCGGCTTGGCCGTCTCTGCCACAGGAACTTCCTCTTCTTCTGACTACATAATGGCAGCCAGACTGAGTTAATGGAACTTCTGACTGGGCTCTTCCTTAAACCTCCTTTTAATTTCATGGTGGAAGGAATCATCCTGGAGCCCCAGAACCAACTGCTCTTTCAGAAACATATCTGGGTCTGGAACTCGTCGAGGGTCTCGCCCCTCCACTTTGCTTATTCTCTCCTGGATCTCATATGCATATGGTCAGACAGTTTCACCAGGCTCCTGCTTGCTCTCAAATAACTCCTTTCTTCTGGTTCCAATAGGTACCTTTGTGACAGATTAAGTTACCAATCTGCATGAGGTGTCAGGTGATCAGGCTGAGGCCGCAGGAGCGTTAGGGGAGGAGATGACTGAGGACACCAAGTGACTGAGTTTAAAGCTTTATTCATAAAATAAAGTTAAATAACAGCGGAGAGTGCTGAGGGTTCCCCACGTCACTCAGAGGAAGGAAAAGCGTTAATGCCCCAGCCCTAATCCACTTTCATACTCACACATCCACTACCCAAGGCTGGTCAAGCTTGGGTGTAACGTACGAAGAAGCGGGAGGAGATGTGGACGGGAATTCTGTCCTGTACGCAGGTCGTCCAGGGTCCGCTGTTGATCTCCGACTTACTTCAGCTCTCGGGAAGGTTTTAAGTCCTGGGTTCTTCTGGGGGCATTTTGTCCGGGGACCTTTGTCCACCGTGCTCTTTGTATCAGTCCAAACCGGCCTTCTGAGGCTTCCTTGGCTTCCCCAAAACACATCGGCTTCAGGGTTGTTATGTTCCCATTCGCTGACCTTTACCTTCTCACTAGTTTTCTCAATCCCCTGCAGTCTTGTTCAGTTTACTGCTCTGTTCTCACAGCTGGTTGGGGTTGTAATCCAGGCCCCCATCTTTCTTGGCATCAGAGAGTCTGCTTGGGTGCATTGGCCTTGGGTGGCTGGAGTCAGCTTCTTTTCTTCGCACCTAGCTGGATCGTTGAGTTAACACATTCCTTTCTCCCTTCCTCCCCTTTTGGCCTCTCACAACCTGCAAAGGAATCTTTCACTCCACACTCAGGCCTTCAACCCCTCCCAAAATGAATATGCCTATATAGGCGGCAGCGATATACAAGGCTGGTGCTTACCCAGGAGACCTCATGGGGGGCAATTTTATCGTGCCTGGGACATTCCCATGAGGCTATTTTATTGTGACTGTGACACCTTGTCTCCATACACTTCCAGGAGGAGTTCAAATACCTTTTCCACATCTTTCTTGTCTGCCATTGCCAGGAGCTTAACTGTGGCCTTGGCCGTGGCCCTTGAGGTGTTCCTCTATGAAGTCCATATGATCCTCTTCAGGTACTCTTAGCACACACGGACTTGCCTTCACAGACTTGACTCACTCCTCTACTGTAATGTCTCCTGGTCTTGTTGGGAAGCCATAAATAGTAGGGGGTTTCTGAGCTTCTGCTGCCTGATGGTCTATTACTGCCTTAGCCAGTGAAAAGGCTTCTCTCTGTTCTGTTCTAGCTTGTTGTAATGCCTCAGCTTGGTCTGATCATCTGCGCACAAGTTCAGCAAAGTGGGCCCATAGTTCTTCAATTCCAGCCATTCTTGACCAGGCCTGGACAGTGCTGTCAGAACTCAACCAGGAAACCAGTGGGGTGGACCCTGTGGATAGGATCCTGTTTGTGATGCCAATTATGTAAGTGAGGGAATGGTCCAGCTACTGTGGGGAACTTTCCTGGCTTATACACTACCCCGGTGAAATGGGCTAGCGAAAGGATTTGAGTCCTCACTCCAACTATCTTTATCCCCTTAGCTCGGCCCCACTCTGATGGACCCAGGCAATTCCAGCTCAGACAGAGGATGGGACCCCCCTTGCCCAGTTTACAATCTGAGTGTAAATGGGAAGTGGAGTGGGAATGGAAATATAAACAGGAATATAAATATCAACCATGCATAATAATCTTCCTTCACTGTAGCCTTAATCCTCCTCGACTCTCCCCTAAAGAAAAACACCCAGAGACGCTGCTCTTGGCACACTAATGTCAGGGAGGCTTCACTGCAAAACTTAACTCTGTCCTCAGACTCCCCCCCCCCAAGCCAGCTACTCCCACCTGCACCCACAGGCGGGCCCCCAGACCTGCTCCAAAGCACGAGCCAGGCTTGCTCAGATCACGTTCCTAGTGTCATGGATCATTTCAATGTAGCCGGTCACTGCCGGGAAGGGAAGGGAAAGGGGCTTCCCTCCCAAATCCCTCCCAGCGCCATGGGAAATCTTCCGCCTCCAGCGGGGGGCCCAGCCCAATGGATCCCTGAGACAAGACTTCACGCCTCCCCCCCACCGGACACTGGCCCCCCTGACCGGACATTGCATGGCCCTTATGCTTGTGGAACCGGGCTCCAGAGCTGAGTCCCCCCAATCCCCAATATCAGGTCAAAAAAGCCAGACCCTCAGTTCCCATGCGAGGAAATACAGTCCCTGCAGGGAGCTGTTCATTCCTCCCAGGGTCCGAAAGTGTCAGGAGGACCCCAGAGCCCTGTGCCCGGCGCTGCACAGACACACAGGACGGGACACTCTGACTCCTGCAGCCGGAGCCCGAGGGCGAGTCAATCCGATCACTGACAGCAGGAGTGTGTGTCTCTTATAAAGCGGGGCATGCAAATGAGGAGACAGTTTCCTGGTTAAATCTGAGCCTCCCTCTGCCCAGGCTGCACCCGGAGACACAATCCGCAGCCCCCTGGGTCGGTGCAGTCACCAGCCAGTCCCCTGAGAACTTTCCCCTCCAGCACCCGGGAAAATGGGATTTTTGCTCCTTGTCATTGTCGCTGTAGCAGCTTTGGAAGGTATTTTCCTCCTCTGAAGACCTGGCAGAGTTAGAAGAATATTGTGTTCTCGCTGTTTTTATACCGACATTAATGGCCTGTCTTTATTCCCAGGTGTCCGGTCCCAGACGCTGGTGGAGTCCGGAGGGGGTGTGAAGAAGCCCGGAGACTCTCTCCGCCTCTCCTGCAAAGCCTCCGGGTTCACCTTCAGCAGCTACGGATGAGCTGGGTCCGCCAGGCTCCCGGGAAGGGACTGGAATGGGTCGCTTATATAAGCAGCGGTGGGGGTAGTACATACTACCTCGATGCAGTGAAAGGGCGATTCACCATCTCCAGGGATAACGCCAAGAGTGAGCTGTATCTGCAAATGACCGGCCTGAAGCCCGAGGACACCGCCCGCTATTACTGTGCGAGAGACACAGTGACACCAAACCGGTTTGTGATCGTACAAAAACCCAGGCTGCGGAATCGCCCTTCTCCCGGCGGCCGCGCGGGGGCAGCAGCGACACCCCCCGCTTCGGGCTCGGGCAGGAGACCCGGCACCCGGGGGAACGGGACACAAACCTCCCGCCAGTTTAACCCTTCCGTTCCCGGACTCTGAATGGCCCATTTCCCTACCCCAGAGATGGAGGGCGGGGTGTGGAAATGGGCCATGCAGGGTGCGGGCGGGGCTGGGGGGCAGAGATCACCCGGCGCCGGAATAAACCCCGCTCCGCTGAGCCCGGGGGATGGGGCACCGCCGGGACTTTCCAAGGAGACTCGAGCATTTTTTCCATCCATTTGACAGCTGGAAATCACAGCCCCGGTGTAAACGGTGCAGCTCAGGATCCTGCCCACAATAAAGTGCCCCCATGTCACAGAGTCACCATGGAGATAAAAGGCCCCGCCCCTCAGCCCCCGATGGCATCACTCAGCCCAGCGCTGGCCCGCAGGGCATTGGGGACAGTCAGGGGGCTAAGGGCTGTGGACAGGGACACGGTGGGATTTCATGGGGTCGCTCAGGGGGAGGCGGCTGCCGAGGGAGAAGCAGAGGCCCGTTGTGGAGGGGGGAGGGGGCACGAGGGTCACAGGGCGCAGCTCCCACTGAGTGAGATTCACCATCTCCAGAGACAATCCCAACAACCTGCTGCCTCTGAAAATGACCAGCCTGAAGCCCAGGGGCACCGCCCGCTACCACTCTCGGTTCCCGGACAATGTGTCTCCCCTTCCTGCCCAGAGCCCCGCTGGGCTGCGGTGCACAGATCCCTCGCTCCATCTGTGAACTCCAATCCGGAGTGAGTCCTGTTCTGTGTCGCTCTCCCCTCGGAGACCTGGCACGTTGGCTCTCCCGGGTCCCATCCCTGTGTGTGTGGGAAAGACCCCAGGAATATTCATACCGAGACTCAAGCTACAGCCACTAGGTTATTCTTCCGTCCCCTGTCTGGGGGAATAAACAAGGAGTCTTTACACTGGTGCCGGTTCTAGATCCTAGATGGGGAAGAGAAAATTGATCACGGGCTCTTCAGTCTGGCAGACAAAGATACAACAGGATCCGATGCTGGAAGCTGAAGCTAGACAATGTCCAGCTGGAAAGAAGGTGATTTTTTAAAAAGACATTGAGGTGAATTAACCATTGGAACAACTGATCAAGAGTCACAGGGGATTCTCCGTCACAAGCAACTATCGGTCTGTATGATTCTGTGTCTTTTAGAAAATAAAGAAATGCAAAATCCATCGGGGGAGATTTAGGTTAGATATGGGGTGGGGAGGGAGAAGTTTTTAAGGGTACGCATATCTAACTATCCACATTGGAACCGGTTACCTAGGCACGTTGTGAAATCCCCATCACTGGAGGTTTTTAAGAACAGACGAAGAACCAGGGGTGGTCTCGGTATATCTAGAACCAGGGGTGGTCTCGGTATATCTAAAGGGTATGTCTACACTACGGAATAAGGTCGAATTTATAGAAGTCGGTTTTTTAGAAATCGGTTTTATAAATTCGAGTGTGTGTGTCCCCACAGAAAATGCTCTAAGTGCATTAAGTGCATTAACTCGGCGGAGCGCTTCCACAGTACCGAGGCAAGCGTCGACTTCCAGAGCGTTGCACTGTGGGTAGCTATCCCACAGTTCCCGCAGTCTCCGCTGCCCATTGGAATTCTGGGTTGAGATCCCAATGCCTGACGGGGCTAAAACATTGTCGCGGGTGGTTCTGGGTACATATCGTCAGCCCCCCGTTCCCTCCCTCCCCCCGTGAAAGCAAGGGCAGACAATCATTTCGCGCCTTTTTTCCTGAGTTACCTGTGCAGACGTCATACCATGGCAAGCATGGAGCCCGCTCAGGTAACCGTCACCCTATGTCTCCTGGGTGCTGGCAGACGTGGTACGGCATTGCTACACAGTAGCAGCAACCCCTTGCCTTGTGGCAGCAGACGGTACAGTACGACTGGTAGCCGTCATCGTCATGTCTGAGGTGCTCCTGGTCGCCTCTGTGAGGTCGATCAGGAGCGCCTGGGCAGACATGGGCACAGGGACTAAATTTGGAGTGACTTGACCAGGTCATTCTCTTTAGTCCTGCAGTCAGTCCTATTGAACCGTCTTATGGTGAGCGGGCAGGCGATACGGACTGCTAGCAGTCATACTGTACCATCTTCTGCCGAGCAGCCATGAGATGTGGATGGCATGCAGTCCTTTTGCACTGTCTGCTGCCAGCCAAAGATGTAAAAGATAGATGGAGTGGATCAAAACAAGAAATAGACCAGATTTGTTTTGTACTCATTTGCTTCCCTTCCCCCGCCCTGTCTAGGGGACTCATTCTTCTAGATCACACTGCAGTCACTTACAGAGAAGGTGCAGCGAGGTAAATCTAGCCATGTATCAATCAGAGGCCAGGCTAACCTTCTTGCTCCAATAAGGACAATAACTTAGGTGCACCATTTCTTATTGGAACCCTCCGTGAAGTCCTGCCTGAAATACTCCTTGATGTAAAGCCACCCCCTTTGTTGATTTTAGCTCCCTGAAGCCAACCCTGTAAGGCGCCCCTCCCAGCGTCAGAACAATGGCAAACAATCGGGCAT